ATTGATTTTTAAAGCATGAATCTTAGTTCTCTGAGACAGGAGAAGACAGGACAAGTTACACTGTTGCACTGATACTTAGGCTTAAAAGCGTAGTTGCAGTCTGTTTCTTTTGTTTTGATCTGCTAATTACTGTTCCTTACTTTGCAGAATAATAAGGTGTGATATGAGATTCTCAAATCTGATTCACTGTATCCTGACAATTCATACAAGTGCAAAGTGTAGGAAAGCAGAATCTGGCAGAGATGGCACATTCTGTTATGTTTATGGGTTTTTGTAAGCTTGTCTGCCAGAAATGACCATACTAAAAAAAGATGCTCAGATAGAAATCTTCAAATATACTTCTTGCAGAAACAAAGTGATTGTTGGTACAATCACTTGTGTTTGTCTCTTTTACAGAATGTAGAATACTTTGCTATACAAGTTGGCTGCAGTCTCATGAAGAAAAAAAAAGAAAAAGGAGTTTAATTTGAGATCTTCTTGAGATTTAAGACCAAAAGCTTGGGAAGAGTTACCATTAAATGTTTTTCTATCATTTGAATTACTGGACTTTAGTTAGTATTGGAGAAATTACTTTTGTGTTGTTGATAACTTTTAGAATAAGCCACTGGTTCTGTTTCATAATTACAAACTTTTAGTTTGAACAGATCAACTCAATTGTAAAGCAAACATGTCCTTTTGCAGACTTTTATTTTCTCCTGTAGGGAGAAAGTCTTTTCTCCCATAGGGAGAAAATAAAATCTTAGGTGTTGGTGAGCAGCTATTCATAAACATGGAGTTCTCTGTAAGGTGCATGTTTATGCTACGTGGGCCATTTTGTGATTGTTATCTGCATTTAGTCAAAGATTAGTAGGACTGGCTTTGCAATAGGAATATTGATTCCTCCCTAGCTAGCACAGATCAAAGAGCACTGATGGGATAGTGAAGCACTGTGCAGTAGAGAACACTACCTAGGTGTGGTTTACTGTAAAATTTACCCTCTTATTGTGAAGGACTTAATGCATATATGGGAGAGGAAGAAAGGAGGAGGAGGCATTTGTGGTGATTTTCTTTCATTTTGCATCATTTGAGACAATATTTGGCAACTTTTTGTTGCTCAGGGTGACCAACTGAGACATACATTTGGTTATGCTGTGTTAAGGCCTGTGAGAAAGAATGAAAACAAGAAATGAGATGCATTTCACCGAAGGCATCGTCATAAAACTTACTGAATTGATAATGCTGAAGTACAGCTGCATCGCTGTCGTAAAAGTACGCGATGAACATGTGGAAAACACGTTGATCTCCAACTCCTGTTAGTAAGCCATACTGACCAGCCTACAGGTTAGATCCTGTGCAGTTAGTAATCTTTCTTTGTGTGTTGACATTAACAAAGTATTACAAGAAAAAGCTCAGAATTTGGAAGTACTGAGCTTTGTAAAACCTCCAGCTGGAAATATGAATGCTCAGAGCTAATTATTTTAGGTTTTGAGAATCAGTTGCCTTCCAATTTCTGTTTTTTTTTTCTTTTGTTTAATGATTGGTTTTCCAATAGTGAAAAGTAATTCATTCCATGTTCAGACTATGGATAGTTTCCAAAACTAATTTTTAGAGTTTGTTTTAAATTTTGTTTTTAATTTTGTGTTGATTTTAGCTTTTTCTTGCTTTTAAAAACAGAAAGTATTAATATTGAAGAGTTAAGCTGCAACGAGGTTTATGTTTTTAGCATGTTTTGTGTGTTTACTTTTTGATCCAGATACATCTAAGGTCAAGGTCAATGCTGATAAACCAGTATTTGTAAATATGTAAAATGTTGATGTAACTTTTCCTATATGAGAAGTCCTGATTCATTTTAGACAGTTTGCCACTTTAGGAACACTTCCACATGACGTGTTCTTGAGCAACAAAGTGGAATAATGCCTGTTTTCTCCTGTGAGGGTACTGCAGTTACCTAGACCACAGGAGGCAATGCTTTCTGTTTAAAAAAAAAGAGAGGCAACTCTCTCAGTCAGCAAGTAGAATGATGAGAAACTGGTGATCTTTTATGTGTTGATATGTAACCTAATGAATAGCTGCAGGACTTCATTTAAACATTGAGTTCCATTCAGTGGAGCAGTTGGGTTTGGAGTGGTTTTGAGTGTCTTGCAGGTAACAAAGCAGCCCTCAGAGGTCTGAGATTAAACAGTGTCCCTTAGCTAAGCAACCAGGTAACCTCAGGAGGTTATCCTGGTCAGAAGGTCTGAATATAACTCCTCTGTGTCTGTTTTTCCAAGCTATTTTTTGTTTGAAGGGAAAGCAGCTCTTTAGATACAATTGTAGAAAGTCACCCTACTTTCAGTTGGCCTTCAGAACATTTTCTCCAAAACAGGTCAGAATGTAGCTGAAATAAGATACGAGGCTGTTTTTTAACCTATATTATTTCTGGTTTTCTTTCCTGTTTTTAGTCTGTGTATCACCAATAAGAGCTGGTTGTTTGAGGGTTTGGTTTTTTGTGTGTAAAATGGGAGGGTGTCAGGATAATAGAGGGCAAGGAAATAGAGGAAAGGTTTTTAAAAAAAAAATTAAATGATTGACTCTAGCCCTTGATTGCTACAGTTCTACTTTTTTTTAATGTGTTTTGGTTTATAATAAAGGGTGGGACTTACTACTCTTTTTTTTTTTTTATTTTAATGTGCCTTTTTTAGATACAGTTTTACCACTCTGCTGTATGTGTTCCTGTGCCTGTGCAGCAGTTCTTTTCAGCCTGTTGCCTTTGTGTCTTAGCATCGGAAATACCTATTCCTTTGTGTTATTGTTACAATACTTGCTTTGCAGAAATTTATTTGACAAATGGGAAAACGTCTACTCATTGTAATCATGTAACTTCATTTCCAGATCTTCAGTTCATTAGCCAACTTGGCTAAAATCTATAAAATGTACCAATTCTATTCACTTTGAAGTTTTAGTAGCGTTTCTGTTGTTGTTGGCAAAGTTTCCACTGTTAGTATTGTGTTTCCCTGAGAGAATTTGTAGCTTGCAAGAAATCTTACTGGTATGCAGACAGTAATATCCCAGGCTTTGTATTATGCTGTGTTGTGCCATAATAGTTCTATGTCTGTTTCCATTTGACATCTAAATTAGTAACTTATTGGAATCACTATTTCCCTTTTAAAAACCCTCTGTTTTCAGTCTGCCCATGAAAACAAAATTATTTTCTTATTAGCAGAGATTAATTTGATATAAAAACCAATTTAATTGTCCTGGAGAGATGATTTTACTGCTATTTGTTCCATGAGAGTTTCTTTCTTTTAAAAGAATAATCTCTTGTGGGTGAGTGGAAGGTGTGATGACAGTGATACTCTTCTTACATATTTAAGTGAAACAGTGTATGTAAAGCAGACTTTGATTGTATTACATTGCAAAGAAGGCAGGATGTTGGTTCCTGCACCACATTTGCAAGAGTAATATACCCCATGCGTGATCTGACTACTTTGCCTCTCTCTGGCTTTGTGAATTTTACTTACAGAACTTTTAAGTACATTATTCCTGATTAATTGGAGTTTGAGTGGTTTTTGTTTCGTTGTTTTGGTGGTGGGGTTTGTGGGTTTTTTTGTTTGTTTTAGATATATAGCTGTGGAGAATTGAGTTATGTGTAATATAAGATGAGATATAAAATATATGTTGAATGCAGCAAAAGCAGTGTGTTGACACTGGCATGAGTGTGATTGTATCTGTTCACCTTTCAGTTCTTTTTAAACCTGTTTCATCTTCAGCATGACTTTTGTGGCAAATCCCAACAGGGAATATTTGTACGCTAAAACCAGATTTAAATCATAGTGTTAGAATAATCTTGGAATCAAATGGGAAGTTTTCTGCCAATTTGATACAAGAACAGGTTTTTGGACTTTCATAAAGTTGAGGAGCCAGTGCATGTGTCTGGATTGCCATTTTCTTACCAATTCTTCCCTTTGTTCCAGTTGATGGGCAAATTAACAGGAATGAAATCACCATTGCTTGTAAAGATCTTTTCTTCCCACCTGTAATCAGATTTTTTGATTTACAGATGAGGCAGCTCTTAGTACAGATTCTTTCTTCATCTAGATACTGAGTGGGAGGTAAAAGCACTATCTGCTGCAGATAGGAGTGACTAACTGCATTTCATTACTCTGTTGCTACTATTGGAGCTTTTATGTTTAGACACAAACTTTGCAGAGAAGGAAGTAGGCCAAATTTGGTAGCTTTCAAGAAATAAAGCTGTACACGAGGCATGGCCAGTTTCTGGAATGTTAGATAAACCCAGTATAAGGTGAATATCCTACCAGAAGGCTAAACAGTATTTATTTGTGCCCTTGCCTTTAGTGGTTGTTTGTGTTTCCTGCTTCTTTGCTACCCATCTGCTGGCCCTTCCATTTCAGTGGATACAAAATCAGACAGTCTCAATTGCTGCTAAAATAACTCTGAAGGTGTAAACCTGCAATAAATGTTGTCTTAATTTGAGATATGTAAAAATACTGATGAATTCTGCACAAAAGTAAAATAATAGTAAATTCTTAATATATGCACAAACACAATGTATGAAGTATTCAGTTTATTCTGAATAAGTTTATTAGAAAAGTTTGGAAACTTTTGCAGGATGTTTCCATTTTCTTAGTCTCAATGAAATTTGGTATCTGCATAATACATTTTTTCCAGTGTTCTTCTGTCCAATCTTTGCCCGTTTATTTTTTTTTCTCCCTCCCAATGTATTCAGACCTTTCTTTCTGAGAAGGTAGAATTTTTTGTGTTTCATGAAGGAAGAACATGTTGTCTGCACCGGGAAAGAAAAATGGCCTTTCTTTCAAAGTACTTGAAAGCAGCAGTCAAACATCAGATTCCATTTAACGTGGCTTTTTGTTTGGGCTTTGCATGAGGAGGTGGGAGCCCAACTTGTTCACTTAGCACATCATCTTATTCTGCAACTGGTTTGAGGACTGCTTCATGGGATAAGAGATGGTAGTGTTATTGCATTAAGAAGTCATTAATTTCAGATTCTGTTGTTTGTTCAGGTTTTTAGCCCGTTTTTTCATAAAGATGGCAGCCAACAACTCAGTGCTGAACAGACTGGAGCAGAAGGGTGCCGAGGCCGATCAAGTTATTGAGTACCTCAAGCAACAAGTTGCTCTGCTCAAGGAAAAAGCTAGTAAGAAATTACCTGTCTTATGATAAACCTGTTAGTGGTTAGCAGTAAATGCGCCTAGGAGAAAAGGCGAACACTGGTGCTCTCAGCCTTTGAAGTGTTTCAAGTCCTCCAAGATAAGCCTAGTAACAGTAGCACCACTTCACTGTCTTGTGGTCCGTGGGGTGTTTCTTTTTCGAAGCTGCTTACTCTGAAATAGAAAAGGTATGGATGAGGAAGGATTAATGACATAAACAGGTTATGGAAATCTGATAGGACATGATTCCATTTGAAGGGAGAAAGGGAGTTGGAAAGAATATGAGTCTATGCATTATCCTGAATGTGCTACTGCTTTTTCACAGCTATGAGAAACTCTTTTAAGACTATCATACCTTCAACTTTGTTTTGCACTTAACTGTATCAGTGAATTAAGATGCTCTGTATTACAAACATCTTCAGTATTTTTCTAATAGGTTTCTTGGGGTTTTTTCTTGTGATTCTCATTAGGGAACTGAGAAGGTAGTGTATTGAGAGACAACTTGATTACATAGGTATTGGAAGAATGGCTGTTTTAACAACAAAAACAACCAAAATACTTTTGGTGATACAATCGTTGAAAGTTCTTACATTTTTGCTGTTTGGGTCACCATGTTTCACTCTTCTTTAATATCAAAACCTGTGTTTGCCAAGTGATGACTGCTAGTTATTGACACCTGTCGGCTTTAATGTGTCAACTCTAGTCTTGCAGGCATCTCTCCGAGAAGAGAAGAAGCTGCGTGTAGAAAATGCTAAACTGAAGAAAGAAATTGAAGGGCTGAAACAGGAGCTGATTCAGGCAGAAATTCGAAATGGAGGTGGGGACAAAAGTCCTGTTCTCATACAACATAGATGTAGTTAGCACAAAATATGATCAAAACTATCTTAATTCGTCTTGATTTTTAGCTTTCTGTATGTGATTCTGTGGCATTTCTTACAAATTCTGGATTTTCCAGGTTCTGTGCCTAGGACAAGTTACTTAATTTCAGCAATTTCATAAGCTGTGAGCCTGACAGGTACATGTGCCAAACTTAATCAGACATAGAACTAGTTCTTTGTATTTTTTTGTACAATGCCTTGTATAATAAGCCCTGAATCTGACTGATGACAATGACTCCTCATAATACCTTAGAAATTGCTTCTTGATACTTTGAGTATTTAATATAGCATGACTGAAAAATCACTATGAAAATTCAAGCCATAGTTCAAGGTGCAGATGGTCAGAGATTTACTAGAAAAACTGTGGTAATGTAAAATTAGAAATAATGTGTTTTGTATTTGTGATTCCATGCTGTAGTAAGACCAGCCTTCCATTGCACTTTTTATTTTGCACTCCTTTATGTAGGTTCAGCTTGCACCATCATATATACTTCACATTAAAAAGGAAGGGGAAAAAAAACAAACATGAAGTGTTTCAGATCCAGCATGTTGTCTTTAAAAATTATTACTGAAAAAAGCCTTTTCTGCCCTCAACAGCTGTTGCTATTTTTACCCATGATGTCAGTATTGCCAGTTGTTTGAGACAGTACCCAGTGTAGCTAAATGCTAGCATTCAACTGTGCTGAATGTTTTAATGGTAAAACAACACATTCAGTCTTCAAAAATATTAATATTCTGTGAATATAGAGAATTCTTGTTCTCCTTTGGGCATCAATAAAGCCCTTTCGTGTACTAAACCAAACCCCCAGTTTATATTTCTCTGTTGTCTGTTAGTCTGCAACTCTGAAACTAGGCAAACTCAAATGGGAAAAAGGGTAGGAAAGATAACTAGGCATTGAAATAAACTACAAGAAGTGGTGGTGTTTGCTTAGATATTTTCCTGTATTGAGCACATTTTCCCATTTAAAAAATGTGCAGTCAAATGCTTTGTTCTTAACTGATCTTAATAATCATATATAGATTGAGTTCTGAAATGTGTTTTCTAATGTTGTGCTTTACTACTCAGCACTTGTGGTTTAGATATTTTGAGAACAATTTTCAGTTCTGTCTACTTTTTCATTTATGTTGGAAACTTTGAATGTCAGTGTTCAAAGTTCTGGTACTCCTTCTAATTTCTTGTGGGTTTGATTTTTAGTAAAGCAGATCGCAGTTCCTTCTGGTACCACCATTTCTACAGCTTCGTTTTCAGATGATGTTCCACAACCTACAGCAGTTGTATCATCTCCTGGTTCCAAAGATCAAACTAAAAGTGAAGATGAAGAAAAAAAAAAGAAGGAAAAAATAGAAAAAAAAGGTACTTCAGGTATTTTATCTGTAATGGATTTAAGGGATTTCATTTATGCAAATGCTTTTTAATCATTTTGGACACAGAAAAATTTCTTGCAGCTACAGTAGGATGTGTCATGTACTAGCTCTTAAATCTTGGAAGTACTTGAACCTAATGGAGGCTGTTAAGTAAGCTGCACATTCTTCCTTAAATGGAATACATGCCGAATGTTTTTTAATGTGAGAACTTCCTTATTATAGAATCACAGAATCTTAGAGGAAGAGGCTTCAAAGATCATCGAGTTCAACCCTAC